TTTTTATCATTTATAAATATATATATTATTATAAATATAATTTTGCGATATTATATACATAATTGAAACGTAATTTTTATTCTCAATTTTGGTTCGATTAACGATATTATTTTTTTTTCTGTTTTATCTTTAATTTCGAATGTCGAGCGAAGTATTCGTGATCGGACAGCGCGCTATTTTATCTCTAATAATAAATTTTTTATACAGTTTAAATTTGACCAAAGATATCTGGCCAAAGATATCTTTTCTGCACATCTCTACATCGCGTCAGCGAGTTCACTGAAATTAGAGCAATGATTTGATTCCTTCGTATGCCAAATGCAATATTTAGTATTAAATTACTCGTACCGAGAGAGAGATTCTAGAATAACTGTCTGCACGTATCGATCGGATTATTTCGAGATGTAACACTTGCATCTCAGATAACTAAGTTCTATCGATTTAAATTGTCGCTGCTAAACTTCATAGTGCAGTTAATTTGGTCTGTAACGGCACAAATTGGATACATCGAAATTATCTTCGACGCATTAATTTAATTTTTTTCGATACATCACGTGGCGAAAAAAAATCGCATTGGAAAGGATAATTTTACTCGAAAAAACATATTTTTGATTTTGATAATAAAAATCTGCAATGTTAGAATATAAATAAAAAAAAAGTTATTTGTTTAAGATTAACGCGATAATTTATGTGTTTAGAATTCTACTCAATCTTCAGTTTGATTTAGTGCAAATATCAACTCGGTAATTTGCTTCTTCCATCTTTAGAATGTTCGCATGTAATCAACTTGATTGCAAGAGTATCCTCATTTTCCGTAGGAAAATCAGTGAATTAAAAGAAATTTCTATCTTGTGAAATTATAAATTCCTAATCTTGAAAATCACTGTGGAATTACAAAGAAAAAAGAAAGATTAATTTTTTATTCAAAATTAAGATATTCTGAAGAGAACTTTTTTCTTCATTTTATTTCTATAGAATTAAAATTCATCTGAATTAATTTTAATCTGATTCCAAGATATGTTATCAGCATGAGAAGTTTATGATAAGCATAATCTCTACATTAAACTTTTCAAATGATTATTGCTTAAGTCACGGAATTTCCACTTACGTGGTACAGATATCATTTGCAAAATATTTTCCAATACGGAAATGTGTGTGCTATCGATTGAAAAACTTCCGCTTGTATTTACATTCGATTATCAATAATGACGTATCTATAAATATATCATCTGACGTCACGATCTCCTTATCGGTTTCGAACCATATATTACGCGATAAATTTGGCAGTTCGGGGACCGATATTAAGCGCGATTCTAAATTAAGGAAGTCACCCGTGT